GAAAGTGCCTGCAATGCACTGTGGGAGGCCAACCTTACCGGTGACTGAGTTACACTCCCCAGCTGGGTGCTGAGGCGCTCAGTCACAGAAATGGGTGTGTCTTGCTACAGCCCCATGGGTGAAGCTATGCTCACCTGTTCCTTTGTAATATAACCCCTTGCCCTGTTTAGGATAGAATCTTCCATGGAAGTGCCTTGTGTGTGTCCCCTCCTCTTACTGTGCCCTTGGGTGTGGCCTACCCAGGTGTCAGTCAACCTGCTGACAGTGGACATCATGAAGATAGACTCAGCCCCCTGAAACCTGACCCCTTGCCTCATTTGAATAGCTTCTCCTCAATAAAAGGGGTCAGCGCGTGCTCTCTCTCTCTTTCTGCGGACCCTTAAGGTCAGAGGAGCCGTCACAGCAACCCCAAAGAAAAAGGTATTTGTGTCTCTTGTGTGGTTATTTCGTGCAGCCCAGTTAGCCCAGTTTAACTAGAGTGACCCCTGAGCCTTTTAGTCGTGAGAACAGAAACCCGGCAATGCACACTTGCTTGATTGGAGAAATGCAAGGGCAAGTTTGATGGTCCGTAACCTGCTGAGCAGCCCTGGTGTTGATCTGTGCATCCCAGGCAGAAAATGGGCATTACCAGTGGGTTGACTTAAGAATGAGATGGGTGAGATCTATGGGTCCAGAAATGACAGTCTGTGCCTTGGGAACAACTTTACTTGGTCTTCCCATTCCTTCTTATCTGTTAGAATGTACATGAAACTTATTTTTTTTTTTAAGTCCACATATGCTCTACTTTAGTCTGTTCCTTCTATGTCTAACATAAATCGTGAATCACATATTTGCCATGTAAATACATCTGGTATTTTACCCATCCCATTTATTTTTCTTGTTCTCTATGGCAGAATCAACTATTAAGTGAATATTCGTAAATATGCTTGCTCATTCTTTGTGTAGGGTTTGAAGTGTTATTTTCCCACTCCTGTGTCTCAGAATATCCTTTTGTAACAGTAACTTCAGCCCTTTTCATTTCACCTGGTGACCAAGTAAACCACAGAATGGACACACTGGTATTTAATCATTCCCCTATTGGTATGTATTCTGGTAGATTCTGTTTTTCTTCTTTGAGTAAACAATGCTACCCAAAGCATCTTTACATATGATTTAGGGTTTTCTAAATAAGTTTTTCTTAAGAAGTTAGGGGAGAGGAAGGATCTAAATTACTTCCACTATAATGATAATAAAGTATCCTCAGAGTGGATATAAAGTCACTTTCCCACCAGGTATAGAGTGGTAAACATTTCTTTAGACTTTCTGCATCATTAGTATTTCTAAAGATTTTATTTTTTTCCAGTTGGCTAATGAAAAGTGCATTTCATTATCTTCGTTTCCTTCTAATTTCTAATTTTCTGATTTTTAGCAAGACTGAGCCCCTTGTATCTGAATTCATCTGTGCTTCCTCTTCTATGAATAGTTTCATGGGTTTTGATATTGGATAGGGCAAGAATTTTCCCTTTTTATAAAACTTGTTTTTTCCCACAATTGTCCAAACTGTTCTGTATTCTGAGAGTCCCTTAGAAAAATTGTTTCAAAATTTTTTTGAAAGAGCAGATTTCTTGTTAATGTGATACAAGTTATTGATAATAACAACTTGTAGCTCAGATATGCTACAACCTCATGAAAAATCAACAAACTGGGTAACTAGGTTATCAGTTTGATGTATATAATATATATATATATATATATATATATAAAAATAATATTGAGCAAGATAACTACAAATTATCTTACAACGTTAGAGCTTACTCATCAAACTTCATAATAATCCCTCAAATTTTTATGACATTTCCCAAAAGCGTCAAATGTGATTTTAACTTTTCTTTATCACTCGTTCTTAGTTATACATGGCAGTGGAATCCATTTTGATAAAATTATAGTATTACTTTGAATTCCAAGTTTAAGGGGAAGGTGACACCTTTGAAATACAAGTGTTATTTCGACAGCCATTGTTCTTCCCTCCAATTTCTAGTTTGTCTTTTTAATATTTTTTTCAGTTGAGTGTGATCTTTTGCATAAAAGGCTCATGCTTTACTAGACTTGTTCTTGGGCATTTTATAGTGATTACTGACACTATCAATGGCCCCTTATTCCACAAATGGTTTTTAATTGGTTATTGACAGTGTTAGACTATGGTGTTATATGCTGATTATATAACCAGTCAGCTTGCTGAGTTCTTTCATTAGTTCTAATAGTTGGTCAGTGGGTTTTCTATGAACACAGCCATATCTGTTCTTGGGGTGATTTGGTAGTATTCACCTGGGGGTAGATTCTCAATGAATATTTCAGTTTTGTTTATGGCAGTTGGTCTGCATATATATAATTTTTTAAATAGCTTGTCCAAACATAGAGAAAACGTACCTTCCCAAATAAGTATAAAATATCTAAGTTTTCAAATCATTTGCAGTGGTATATATAATAGTCAATGAAGATGCTTAAAATGCCTCTGTTTTGGGTTTTTAAGTTACCTTATCACTTCTTTCCTGATCTGGAGTGCCAGAAGTTGATTCTATCAATATTCTTTTAAATCTGCCGCTAGTCTTAACTGTTTTATTTACATTTTAGCCTTCTGCTTTTATTAAAAATTCTGCCATTGAGTTGACAAATATTTACTGGGAATCTGCACCATTCCAGGCACAGCCCCATGCTGGAGATAAGGGGGAATGTGGCTGTCAGATGCAGCCTGTTCCCATGGAAACTGCAGTCTGCAGCAGATGGTGAGCCAGCCAGGAAGAAGGGGAGGCAAGTAACAGAGCTGAGCTCTTTAGTCCCAGGCAGGTCCTGATCCAGTTAGAGCAGTAAGGACTACAGTATTCTTGGGGTGCACTTGTGAAAAGGGGGGAGGCATGAGGAAAGAGGGAGAGAGAATTAATACGTATTTTTAGGAGTTACACTACAGGAGACGGTAGCTGCAGGTAAGCCCAAGGAGAGTTGTTTTTCCTGACACAGGAGATGTGACAGCATATCTCTCAACTGAAGGGAAGGGTTGCTAGAGGAGTCAAACTATTTCTGCAGTGTTCATCTGTGTCTTCTCTTCCATCAGTCGCCTCCCTGCAGGAAGCAGAGGGATGGGCTTTAGAGAGGGGCACGGATGCTCCATCCTGTAATAAGGGGAAAGACCACCATAGGGCCATAGGTGTAGGTTCCTGTTCACTTCTCCAGCTTCTTGCTTTGAAAACCTGGGTCAATTACTGGAAAACCTTTTTCTTTGGTTTTTAGGGTTGTCCCCCCCACCTCCACTCCCACCCCTCCATTCAAAATGTTGAATGTCACACTGCACAAATTTGAGCCTGGGCTGTTGTCAAATTCTTAAGAATTGAAGAAATGTGGATTTTTAAATCCTTACCATTTACATATTTTTGCTATTAATTTGTACTCTACTATGAAAGAACATGTAATTGATGCTTTCTGCTCTTAGGAATGCATTGCAGTCTCATGTGTTTGAAAATATATTGTGAATTTTTCAGGTCGGAAGAGTTTCCATTCCATTTTTTAATAGATCTTGTGCTAACCAGTCCTTTTTGGTATTTGTTTATTATGATCATTAGATGCATAAAAAATCATGTTGGGGCTGGGATTGTGGCTCAGTGGTACAGCGCTCACCTAGCACAGGCGGGACCCGGGTTCAATTCTCAGCACCATATAAAAAATAAAGGCATTTGTTGTGTCCATCTACAAAAAAAAAAAAATTCTCTCTCAAAAAAATCATGTCATATCTTCTTAGCACCTTATACTATTTTTCCAGTATGAACTATTTTATTACACTTTCCTCTGCCTATTTGAGTAATATTACTAGCCCTCTTTTTTGTTAGCATTTTTTCTCATGTATTTTTTTTCCTCCTCCCGAGTTATCCTGCTTTCGGAGTGCCAGTGGCAAATAATTTAATGCTAGTACTTTCCTAACCCCATTGAAGAGTTTCTGCCTTTTGATATGTGAATCTAGCAACCTCACATTTATAGTGAATGTAAATAATTTTAAGTTTATAGTGGTATCCATGTGTCTGCTTAATTTATCATGGTCTCTTGTGTTGATTGGGTTATCATTTTTTCAGTAATTATTCCTACATTTTTAAAACCTAATTTTCCGTTTAATGTTTATAGCTGCACAGTGTCTATTTTTCTACAGACACTGCTATGCCTTTGCCTTCCTTATGTCCATTTCCTCAAAACTTTGTTGCTCTGTTTCTCTATCCTCACTACTTGGGTTGAGAAGTTGGTTTCATTGTCATTCTTTTTAAAGTCCTTTACTTCTAGAGAAGTCTTTAGGATTGATCTATATTTTGATAGCCTCAAGTTTCACTCAAGCTTGACTGTGCCCTTTCAATGAAGAAGTGTTTTAATTCCAAAAATATTTTCTCCCTTAAGTTCTTCTATGCTTTTCTTTATCATGCAGCTGGTAGATTCAACCATTTGTTTTTCAGAAAGTTTATGTGGTCTTGGTTTTTGACATTTTTTTCCTTCTCAGACTGTCGACCAACAGTGATCTTGGGGTGGGGGGTATTTTTATGCTGGTAAACATGGTCCAATACAAAGAGACTAATAGGTACAGCAATGTTCTGGCCTAGATGAGATTGGATCTAGTGCTAAAGGGAGGAGGTCAAGCAAAGAGAATTTTATAAAATGGCTTGTTTTTTCTGAACTAAGGATTAGTTCTGGAGAAGAGATTGGTGTTCCAAAATACGTGATCATAGTTCTGGCAACAAGGAAATCTTTGAGCAGTGGCATGCCTGGTCCCCTGTTACAGCCAACAAATATGCCCTTTTTCCTCATCCACATCTAATGAGTGGGCATTTGTAGAAAGGAGGTCAGTTGTATTGCAATATCAGAGATATAGTTGGATAATTCAACATAAGAGGTGATAACAGATAGAAAGAAATGATTTTTTTTAACTTTTTAATTGCCCAAAAAGCAGAAGAATTTGTCGATGTATAAATTTAATTCACCATGGTAACACATTCTGCAGAATAAACAAATTTATTACAAGAAATGTGAATTAATGTAAAACTTATGGAGAAATTGACAATTTGGTCAGGCTAAATTCTATTTCATTCCAGTAACTGGATTTAATGAAACTGTTACTTCACTGGATTGGGTAATAACATTAGTGATATAAATTAAAAACTCTGTTTGAAGAAAATTGGAAAATAATTTATTCTTAACCAATAGGGTGACCATAGCCCAGGAATATGAATTCAAGTTAACCCTGACTGACTGGTTCCTCCACAGAAGAGGTCTCATGAACTTTCATAGTCGGAGAACAAAAGAAAGTTGTAAGTGGGTTTTAGATATGATTTTTATGGTATTCTTAGCTTTAGGGTTGGTAGAGGTTAGAGGTCTACTAAGATTAGCGTCACATTCCAAGAAGTTTCCCTACTAGTTAACAAAAATGTTAAGTCACATACGAAAGTTAACGTAAATGACTAGTTGATGGGCCTAAGATGGCCCCTGAGAATTTTGGTGCTCAATCTACAATGCTGACTCTCTCCTCAAACAATCTGCAGAACCTTCAATAACAGTGTGGCTTCTTCAGAGAACTTCAATTCCTGGTTCCCCCATTGGCCAAGCACCATGTTCTGTGTGTTCAGAAGCTAAATGTTTTGTGTCTTATGGAGCTAGGAAGGCTCATTCTCACAAGCTCGTGAAGAGGAGGCTGACTATGTAAGAAGGTAGTCTTTAGAAGAGGGCACGAGTTATCAAAGCCATTAAGGAAGAAGTCATGAGGCTATATTAGTGTCAGTAATCATCATGAACTCATTTTGAGTGTGCTTCTTTTTCCCTCCTTTGTATCGGATATAAAAGTTACGTGTGACATATCACTTTTATACTTGAAGTTAAAAGAACCAAGAGCATAGTATGGCCTTGTTACTGGTAAGGCGTCCAGAACAAAGAATTGAGCAAGACACTCAGAAGTGACAAAGCACAGATGTAGTAAAGGAGAAAATAAGTCATTGAAGTAGAACAAGTATGCTCCATTAAGTGGAGCAGACTGAGAGAAAGGGTCCAGGCCTCGTTGTTGGGTGATTCTTAAAGTTGTGAGGTGTTTCCCTCCACCCTCTGGACCTGATTGAAGACCCTGCCTCATTTTTTCCACTGGTAACTTTGATACCTAATTATAATATTGCCCACTTCGCTCCTATTGGTTACTTTATGGTACCTAATTAGAACACCCAACCTGTGGTAGGAGTTGCCATGGTAGTGGGACGTAAAGCAAAGAGGATTGTGACTACTTGACTCCTGTCCTGAACCCCACCTCCATCATCCTACCAAGCTGAAGGAGAAAAGATAGTAATGAGGGAACTAGGTGTCCCAACTAAGGAAAAAAAAAGTCTTCTGCATGCATCATACCTTTAGTGATAATAAGGTCTTCCCCCTGTGTACTTTATGAAATATCAATTCAAATTTTTCTGGACAGTTTGACCCCATAGATTTACCTTGTGTGGAATAGCTAATTCAAAGAAAGATTGGTCCTCAATGTCAGATTGTTGCAACTCTTACTTTTTTGCAAATAATTTGATTTGTCATATTGGTGAAATCCACGGGCAGTCACATTATAGCAGAAGTCAGGAAATTTTATTTGCTTCTCAACAAAACTGTTCCTTTCCCATGTAACAAATATTTTAGTAATAGTAGGGACAAAAGGCCAGACTTGTGAGCATAAGCAACCTCATTTCTTAGATCTCAGTCAGAAAGGGAAATGGAATTCTAATAAGTGTCATTTTGAAATATTACCTATCTACTTCCCATTGGTAGAATATGGTATGGTTTAACATTTTTCCAGTGCTAGCTAACTGTACTATGGGATATTTTAAAGACTCATGGAACATGAGCTTTTAAGGTAGTGTTAGGTTATAAATCCTGTTATTTTCCATAATTGATCCTTTGTACAATATTTCCATAAATCATTAACCCTAACCTTTGCACTGACAGGTGTTGACCATTTTCTCATAGCTGCTTTAGATTCCACCTCTACTAACATTGTCAATAACCCTGTTGAAGCATAGGCTCTTTCTCATCTTTGGGTTCAGGAACAGTCCTGTATAAATGGCTTACTATTTTTTGTACCTTTTTTGTAATACATACTTTTCTTTTAAAAATTTCCAATTCTTTTCACACTACATGTAGTATTATCTTGAAAGCATATTCTCTTCTAAAGAATGTCTTTGTTTATAGCCAGTTTAGCTTGCCCTTAAATTTTTGGTCAAGTACCTACATCACCAGTGAGGTGTCTGGCCAATTTTGATCAATCCACCATGACTATTATTGTCATTGGAAACAAATCACTTTTGTACAATTTGGATATGAAGAGTCAAACCAAAATTTTTGACATCCTATATAAGGGTCAGCAGCATAGAAGTGACTCCAAAGTAGGTAGAATTCTAAATAGTCTTCTGGGCCTGGTAGGAACATTTATGTCGTCTGAATTCATGGAGATCATATGGTAGGGTTAGGTCCCAGCCACACTCACAGAGCAGATGTTTGTCAGAATAGCTGCAACAAATTGACCCATATATCCAGGAATTTGAAAAATCTTATTGTCTCCACTATCAGTAGCAAATATAGTAATCCACCTGGTTGGACTCGGGTTAATATTCTTCCTTTATCCCTTGTAGGAACCTCTGTTGTTTTGGCTACAGGGGTTTGGATCTGAAATAAAAGTAAGTTTCTTCAGTAGGTTTAAAATCAGACTCTTCCAATCTGGAGTTTTTCTTAGGTACAATTTAGGTAAAGAATAAGAGAATTATTTTCTGGGGGCAGTGTAAAATCTGAAGGAGGATTCAGTTTGGATCAAGGTCTGGATAAGCAGTCATCATAGCAAAAATGATTAATGAGAGGACATAATCTCATCATTCTTAGTTTTACTAAAATCAAGTTTGGCATTACTTTCTTTTAAGAAGAAACATCAAGCAAATTCTAAATATCTCAATTTCTAAGAGATCTCTCTAAACATACTTAGGTCGATAGAAAATGTTCTATAATGATTCAGTAAAAGAGTGGGGGTTCCTTTACTTGGTGGGTTCTCAATCGTCAACATGGGGGAAGGCAAGTATCACCCAGTTTTTATGAACTCTAAGTGGTATGTCATCAGCAGGAGCTGGTACCCAGTTGAGGTGAGAGATGTGATAGCAAGCATTTACCGTCTGAAGTCTTGGGTGACATGAGGTCATTGTTCCTGATGGGATGCTTTTCATTGAGGCTGAAGACAGTCCTTGATGTAGTGTCTCTTCCAGTAGAAAAAGTCGCCAGGCTGTAGCTCCTAGTCATCTGTTCTTTCTTTCCTGGAAGCTCACTGCAGAGAAAATGTGGATCTGTAGTTCAGTTCAATTTTATCTGTTCTGGATGCAATGGGTGTCATCCTAAAGCACGAGGCCGGCATTGTTGTTAGGAGTTGTACTTCTGAGGAAATATAAAACAAAGTCAACAATAACAAAGCAAATCCAGTTTTATCATAGTTTTGAACCAAGAAATAGTTTTTTTATAGTAAAACCAGTTACCAGGGAAAATCAAAGAAAAACCAGTTTGTTTGCAAAAGAAATTTAGTTTTATCAGAAAACTGTATTTAAGAGAACAGTGGTTTCTGGCAGGGGCACTGTAGCACACGCCTGTAATCCCAGTGGCTCGGGAGGCTGAGGTGGCAAGATTGCTAGTTCAAAGCCAGCCTCAACAAAAGCGAGTTACTAAACGACTCGGTGAGACCCTATCTCTAAATGCAAAATAGGCCTGGGGATGTGGCTCTAGGGGTCGAGTACCCCTGAGTTCAATCTCTGGTTCCTCCCCCTAACCAAAAAAAGAACAGAGGAATCCAAAAGACTGAGAATTGCCAAGGTTAAAGACCTAATGATCATTCACAAAGTAATTTGGTTGGTTGTATTTAACATTAGAACTCTGATAACAAATATCAAGATGTATCAGGTTTCTAGGAATATTAAATAACTGAAACATTAATAATTCATTTATATAAATGTAAGTAAAAATATGTCCCTTGGCCTTCTCAAGGCCCTCTTAAAATCTCAAAGTTTTTGTAATGGTGACCGATATACCTGATGAGAACAAGGTAGACCAGGAAAAGTACTATGGCTCATGGTTTCAGGGGGTCAGTCCATATTTAGTCCATTTTGTAGCTCTGAGCCCTGTGTGAGGGAGAACATTATGGCAGAAGTACATGGTAGAGGAAGGGAGGAGTTCATAATGATAATCATGTTATCATAATTGTAAAGTTAAATGGTAACTGGAAGCAGAAGGAGAGATCTACTCACCAAGTACAAAATAAAAACCCTGAAGGCAGCTAGGCAGTGGTGGAAGCCTGTAATCCAAGGGGCGCAGGGGGCAGAGGCAGGAGTTTTTGGGACATGAGGTCATTACAGCCAGCCTCAGCAATTTCGTGAGGCCCTAAGGAACTTAGCAAGACCCTGTCTCTAAATAAATTAAAAAAAAAAAAAAAAGGTTGGGGATGTCTGTAGTGCGTTTCTATGCCCGGGTCAGTGGTCAAGTGCCCTGGGGTTCAATCCCTGGGTTTAAAAACAACAACAAAAACCCCAAACCCAAAGGCACAACCCCAGTGACCTACTTCATCTAGATATAGGAGTTGTACTTCTGTAGAAATGTAAAAGTCAATAATAACAAAGCAAATCCAGTTTTATCATGGTTTTGAACCAAGAAGTATTTTTTTTTTTTGTAGTAAAACCAGTTACCAGAGAAAATCCTGCCTGTAGGTACAGCCCAGTTAATCCATAACCGTGGATTAATCCACCATCAGGATACAAGTCACATAATGTAATCATTTCATCTCTGAAGATTCTTGCATTGTCTCCCACATGAACTTTTGGGAGATACCTCCTGTCTATTATCATAACAGTTCTCTACCAGAAAGACTTAATTTTACAATTTCTCAAGTGTATAAAAAACTTAATTAAATGGGTCATAATGAAATGAAACCAAGGTGATAGATTTATTAAATTGATATGACATAACAGTGCAAATGTTTTAAGTATGCTATTTGATAATGTTGACATATGTAAACATGCATAAGCCACAATAAAAATAATAAACATGCTGAGCGTGGTGGCGCGTGCCTATAATCCCAGCAACTCAGGAGGTTGAGGCAGGGGGATCCAGGGGTTCAAAGCCAGCCTCAGTACTTAGGCCCTAAATAACTTAATGAGACTGTCTTAAAATATAAAGAGGGGCTGAGGATGTAGCTCAGTGTTTAAATGCCCCTGGGTTTAATCCTTGGTACCAAGAATAATAATAAGCATATCTGTCACTCTTGAGAGTCTGTGCCCTTTTGCCAACACTTCCCTCATTGCCCTCCTAGTTTCTTGCCTTTCCTACAAAATCTTGCTTTATTTTCTATGCCAACAGACTAAATTTGCATTTTTAAGAATTTTTACATAAATAGAATCATGAAATATATATGAATGTGCGCTTTGTCTAGCTTGCATCACTAGGGTGTTTTGAGAGTCATCTGTTTTGCAGTGTGCATTGTTACTTCATTTTATCAGAGTAGTGTGCTCTCTGATAAATCACAATGTATTTACACTCTTCACTTATTGAGACATAATATTTATACATCTTTGTGGGGTACATTATGATAATTCAATGCATGTATACAATGTGTAATAATCAAATCTGGCAAATAATCCTTTCCATCTCATCAAAACATTCTTTATTTTAAATAGTTTTTTTTGGTTGTTGTATAGAACATTAATCATTTTTATGTGTTGGAAATTTGAAATACATCATCAATTGTTTAAACCAATAATTCCCTTGCTGTGCTATAGAAAAAAAAAAAAAGACTTAATCCCTCTCCTGTGTTTTGGTGCCCCTTGTTGAACTTCTTTCCATCTTCCTGGTCTCTAGTGAGTATTATTCAATTTCCTGTCCTTCTATGATGTTGACTTTTTAACTCCCACAAATGAGTGAGAACATGTGGTATTTGTCTTTCTGTGTCTTGCTTATTTAACTTAACATGGTGGCCTGAGGTTACATCCATATTGCTGCAAATGATTTTATTCTTTGTATGGCTGAGTAATATTCCACTGTGCATATACATCCTGTTTTCTCCATTCATTCACTGAAGGGCATCTGGGTTATTTCCGTATTTTAACTACTGTGAAAAGTACTGAAGTAAACATGGAAATATAAGTATGCTTCTAGTGTGATTTCCTTTGGATATAGATAGAACTACCACATGATTCAGAATTCATCAATCTATTTTTAATGTGTTAAGGACTTTCCACATTGGTTTCCATAATGGCTGTACTAATTCACATTCCTGCCAAGATTTCATAATAGTTATCCTTTCTACACATTAGCACCAGAATTTTTGCTGAAAGCCATTCTAAGTGAGGTGAGATGGTATCTCACCATGATTTTGATTTCCATTTTCCTGATAATGGCGCATTTTTGTCATACCTTTTGGACAGTTGTATGCCTTCTTCTGTCTCGTTAGTTCTTGACACCATTTTAAAACTGGATTATTGCTTATTTATGTTTGGCTTTAATCCCTAATATAGGGTGGATATTAATCCTTGTTAGATGAATAGTTTGCAAATATGTTCTCATTCTGTATTTTTGGCGATTATTTATTTCCTTTGATGTATTTTCCTTGGTTTTATATAATTCTATTTGTCTATTTTCACTATTGTCTGTTCCTTTCAGGTCCTATCTGAAAAAAATCATTGCCAACACTAGTGTCTTGATACGTTTCCTTTGTTATAGTAATTAATTCACTCAGGTTTAACATTTAGTTTTTTGATCAATGTTAAGTTGGGGTGTACAGTATCTTCTACATATGTATACCCAATTTTGCAAGCACAATTTTTTGAGGAGACTGTCATGACTTTGCTATATGTTCTTGGTGCCTTAGTCAAAAGTCCGTTGGTTGTATGAATGTGAATTCATTTCTGGGTTCTCTCTTCTGTTCCATTGATCGCTGTAGTGCGCTTCTATGCCAGGGCCATGATGTTTTAGTTACTATAGCTTTATAGTATAATTTAAGATCAGGCATTATGTGGACTCTTAATGCTCATGATTGCTTTGTCTATTCTGGATCTTTTTCTCTGAAGAGTGTCACTTGTGTTTAATGGGGATTGCATTGAATCTGTAAACTACTTTTGGTGATATGGCCATTTTGAAAATATTCTATGTATTCAATGGAGGTCCTTCCCTCCCTTAGTTGGGAATAAATCTAAGTGTTATGGCCTGGATATGAGGCATCTCCCCAGAGCTCCTATTAAGTAAGAATATTTGAATGGTGGTTTCATTTTCTTGACTAAAGCTCTGGCCAGAGTTTCAAGAGCTATATTGAATGAGTGGTGAGAGTGGACATCCTGATTTCAGAAGAAATGCTTTCATTTTTCTTTTGTTTGTCATAGATTTTATAATGTTTGAGGTAAGTTCCTTTTATCTTCATGGGTGTTGGATTTTGTTGAAGGCTTCTTCATCTATTGAGAATCATTTTTTTTTGTCCTTGATTCATTTCATGTATACAGTTGGATTCATCCTGGAGATGCAGGATTGAATTAAATTATCATGGTGCACAATCATATAAATGTACCTTTGAATGCAACTTGCTAATATTTTATTAAGTATTTTGGGCATCTAACTTCTTCAGTGATATTGGTCTGTAATTTTCTTTTGGTTATCAGGGTTGTAACTGGCTTCACGGAATGGCAGTGTTTTCCTCCCTTTGTATTTCACAGAATAATTTGAGGAGGATTGGTGTTAGCAGAGTTCCACTAAACCTTTAAAAAAAAAAAAAAAAAAGCTTTTTGGTACCAGGGATTGCACTTGGGGGCACTGAGTCACATCCCTATTTCGTATTTTATTTAGAGACAGGGTCTTACTGAGTTTTAGTGCCTTGCTGAGGCTGGCTTTGAACTTGCAATCCCCTGTCTCAACTTCCTGAGCCACTGAAAGGCACTTTTTTGTTTGTCATACATGGCAGTAGAATGCATTTATGCACTTTGATAGAAATTATATCCCAGCTATGTACGATATGAGTGTATATGTTGCAGAATCATATTGGTCATGTAGTCACACATTTTATTAATGCTTCAATCTCATTTCTTTATTCTGTTTGGGTTTTCTATATCCTCCTGGTTCAATTTGGGTAGGTCATATGTGTCTAGAAATTTGTTCATTTCTTCTAGATTTTCAAATTTTTTGGACTATTTAAAATCTTCTGGACTTCAGCAACATCTGGTGATATCTCCTTTTATTTCCAACTTCATTATTTTGGTTAATTTGGCTAAGAACGTATCTGAACAATCTTTTCAATTCCATTAATTTCAGGTCTGATCTTAATTATTTCCTGTCTTCTACTAGTTTTGGAATTAGTCCTGCTTTTTGAGGACCTTGAGAGATAGATTTCAAATAAACAATCTAATGCTGTT